ATAACAAGCAGCCTGCTGTAGCACTCGTGCCACAGGTTCACCACCACTGGCTAACTACCACTGGCTTCTCTATGCACAATGCTATCATGTGTTAGTTAGGATCTGCAATGCCTCCCAAGGTTCATTCATGTGTTGAAAGGCTGGTCCCCAGCTACAGGCACCACTGGGAGTTGGTGAGAACTTTAGGAGATCTAGTTGGAAGAGGTCACTGGGAGCATGTTTTTGGAGGGTATATTTTGCCCCTGGACTTCTGTTTTTCTCTTTCTCTGCTTTCTGGCGATGATGAAATTGACATCTTTCCTCCACCGAAGCCAAATAAAATCTTTCTTCCTTTATGTTGATTTTCTTGGGTATTTTGTCACAACGATGGAAAGCTGATTAACACAGCATGGCATCCTTTCTTGCTGGTGTCCTCCTGTAATAAGATGGGAGTCCATCCTGTCTCCGAGGCCTTCAGTTGTCTTCTGGGGTTGGGGGAGATGGAAGCTATCACCTCATATAAATTTATTCAGGATTCCTCTCTCTCAATCATCTTATATCTTATCTAATTGTTACAAGCAACCAAGCAAAAGGGTTGTACAACACTGACTTAAATAGGCTCACCTAGAAATTTCTGTATGTGGCTGAGGATGTAGTTCAGTGGTACAGCACTTGCCTAGCTTATCTAAGGCTATAGATTTGATCCCCAGTGCTAAAATAACGATAATAATGATAAAAATTGCTATATGGTCACCAAGGTTTTTGCTCTCAAAAGAGAGAATGCTGAATCATTCTGCTCCTAAGAGACAAACTATAACACAACCTCATTTCCTTGCTCAGACTCATTTCATTTGTCTTGGCATATTTGCCTCTCAGTTTGTGACTAGCTCCTGGAACCAGTTAATGATTCAGACCCAGGGTAGTCAACGAATTTAGTTCTTTCTACTAAATCTGTCTTCTTTTAATGGCTCATCACAAAAATATTTACATATTCAATTAAGATCTTCCAAACACAGAGACTAATTACAGTAAGAGTTCAAATTAGCCTTTAGGGCACTTTACTCAGCCATTCAGCAAACATTAAATGAAAATCTATATAGCAGTTATGAAGCATACATTTGAGGAATCCCATTATTCACTCAAGGACAAAAGGTACGTAAACCTTGAAAATAGATAAATTATTAAAAAAGACGTTATTTTAAAAGGTATAGACAATGTTATTTGGCAGCAGTTTGAAGAGAGTGACTCTTTAGGGACAGACAGTTCAACAACAAAGACTTTATAGAGTTTGAGTAATGTGCTAGATTTGAAGGATGAATAAAAATTCACTAGATGAGGGAGAATGGGCATTTCAACCAGAGGAATTTTAATGCAAGGCCAGGCAGGAGTTGAAGAGTCACATAGTGAAGTGAGTATAGGCTGATGCAGAAGACGAAATGTCAGGGATGAGACAGAAGTGTTAAGAAGTCACTGAGCACTGGGTCTAACTCTATGCAGTACTACACAGTACTATGTGCCCCATGACCCTTATTGGTGTTTATAAGAGTTAAGACATAAAAAGAACCTAGACCTATGAGTGATAGAGTATCATATAGATTTTGTTATGACTATTATTATGTGTATTCACTACCCTATATCTATTGGAGAATGAAGAATTTGCAATTTCTGAAAAGGAAATAGAGATGGATATGATTTTCATCACACTACACACAGTAAGAAGCAAAGAGAATGTGTTCTATTGAATTACTTCAGTCCTCTGAAAGTCATTCCTTCTCATCATCCAAATATATGTTGGGGAGAGCAGGTTACTAGAATAAAACTAATCATGAGACCTTGTATGTGGACAGCATTTTCAGTTTAAGGGCTGGCTAAATAGTTTAGCAGATTAAGATGCCTGCAAGCAGGAGCAGGGGCCAGGGGTTCAATCCCTGGGCCTGCTGTGCCAACCTGTGCTGAGACAGCAATTGAGACTAGGCGTGGGGGTGCCGCGCAAAGGGCTGTAAACAGGTAGATCACTAGGAGTCCGATCTAATAGTGAGAACCTGAACACCCTATAGATCATTCCCTAAAATACATTTTCAGTTTAAATAATCTTATTTTAAAAACTTGCAATATTTATAATACTTTAAATCTCTTGTCAGAAGAATCCTATTGCCAGAAATCTAGATACAACCTGAAATTCAAATCTTTTGATGAATTTAAGCAACTGGCTGAGGTTACTTACCTACCAGTACCTTCCCCAAGTCAACTTTTTCATTATACCCCTATACTAATCTAAAGAAGCAAGGTAAAGGAGCAAAGGCACAAAGGCTTTGTCATTTCCTAACCTACAAAATCCCTTTGTTAAGTCAATGTCTTATTTCAATTTAATTCAGTTCAATTACACATCCAAGAAAGACACTACACATTGTAGTTACCTAGGTCCTACTCATTCTATAACAATGGACTAGAAATTTGCAGATCAGTATTTGGGGTACTGTGATTTGCAGCATTGAGAACTGACTCCAGTGTTCGGGTTACTGCGATGGCTAATCTTGCTTGTCAACTTGATTGGTTTGAGAGGCAGCAAGATTAATAAAGCGCACAGATTTGCTGGATCCATGGGGATCCAAGGGTGCTTTGGTTCCATGCTGGATCACAGCGGCTGGGCTCTGAGGACGCTCTCTGGCTCTTCCCTGTTCTCTGTTCTCTTGCTGCCCTGAGCCAAGCAGCTTTGCTCTGTCATGCCCGTCCACCATAGTGCTTTTACCTTAGAACAAGCCAACAAGGACTGAAATTATGAGTAAAACTAAACATTTCCTCCTTTAAGGATATGTGTATGTTTGCTATTTTGTCCCAGCAGTGGGAAATTGACAATGTAACTACTAACCACTTGGATGACACTGGAAATTACTTCATCCATTTGAGCCTGAAGTTCTTAAAAAAATAAATGAATTAGAATGGATTATTTAAAAGTCTTCCCGGGACTCACATTCTATAATTCTCAAATGCAAAACAGCATCAGTTTCAGTATGTTTCAGTATATTTATGATGATAAATATACAGTCCTGTATTAGAAAAATTTGTGAATTTTTCAGAGGAATAATGGCTCGACACATTGTCTAGGGTATTCTATGTGATTACAGAAGAAACTGGGAAGTGGAGCTCGTCTCTTTATTCATTAAAAAATATTTATTAAGTTGGAAACGGTGATCACATGGGTTTGTCTTATGGGCTGTGATTTGCACATTGGTACCTCAGAATTAACAATTAAAACTGCATTAAAAATACCTATCTTCCGTTTCTCCATTGACCAAATACCTGTATAGACTTTCTTGTTAAAACGAAGTCACTCTCGGTTTGTGGCTAAGTTGAAAAGCTTTCACACATTAATTTCACTCAATTCTAAGACACTAAATATAAAGGTTTAAATGTTTCCTGCCACACTAGAGTTCTTCACTTTTTCTAAGGCTGATTCTTCAAAGTGAAGTTTTAGACACAGAGAGCATCTTCCTACTTTTATGGAATTTGTGATGAGTCTGCAATATAAACACGATGTGAAATTCTGGTTACTACACCTCTAAAAAAGAGACATATTTACAAGTTGCAAAAGAAAAATAAGTAAGCAAACTCATCTTTGGGGATATAAAGATATAACCTAGATCAGCCAACTCTTTTATCTTATTCAAATATAGTACTGGAACAGAATTTTCAGGCTGGAGACTTAAACCTTCAGTTTCTTAAATGAGAAACTTGAAATTCAAAGCCACAGTGACCTTACCAAAGCAAAGATGAGACACTTAATTAACACCAAAACTGCACTAAGGACCCAGGTCTGCAAATTCCTTGTTCAGGAATCTAGGCATTTGAATTGTGAGATTTTTAGCAAATCAAGGATAGAAAGAGCATACATATTCCTTCCATTTGAGAGATACTGCTTTAAATTAAATGTAAGGCACCTGCCTCTTCTAGTATATTTCGCCAACAGGATACATTAGATAAATGTATGGATAAAAGACGTACAACACACATATTTCACTTAGAGCTAGGTCATATTCACAAGCTCCCTTGCAAGTAGCTTGTTCAGAATTTGGAATCCCTTTTCTTGTCAAAGAAAAGTACTGTATGTGCCTATTTAAATAGATATGGCTGAGATAATGGGGACAATATCCCCATAATCACCCTGAGCTGGGACCAACTGGGACGACCCCCTTGGGTCCTGGACCCTTGGAAACCTCTAGCAGGGCACTGGAGACAACTAGCAAGCCATGGAGTGAGAGGTTCCTAAGTCCTAAAGCAGACAAGGCTTAAGCATTAAGGATAACACAGAATATCTGAAAACATACTTCACCTTTTGAGGTCAGAGCCGCGGGTGATAACCATGTCTTACCCCTAAAACCTCTTGGGTACAGCAGTGGAGTGAGTGATAAGGTCAGAACAATGTGAACCTGAAAACTGGGCTTTTCTGGAATCAGAAATCAACACTTTTCAGAAGGAGGATGGCTTAAAGAAAACCTATCAAAGGTCTCTCACACTCCGCACTCCAGAGGTAGCTCCCATCTTTTTCACATTTCCCCCATATGCAGGTCCAGAGTTTGGGCATGGTATTCATCATAGAGCACCACCAATGCATACACGCTGCTGGAAAAGTTTCCCAAACCATCAACGTAATAGCAATTTTGTACATTTAGCGTGGGGCTTCTTAAATTTCAGAGTCTAAACTGAGGAGGTATCCATGCAAGTGGAATTTGCCAATCTGGTGTGCACAGCCTTATTTTCCTTGGCCACCCGGGATGCTTCAGGTGAACGAGGTCTCTCACAACACAAAGTCTCCTCTAGGTAAATTAATAAATCACGTCCTCAAACCCTGGCCTCCGGGCGGACGACGGAGACTAAGAGGCTATCAAAGTGGGGGGCTTTCTCCAACCCCAAGAGAAGAGCGGCTGGCCGGCTGGCTCGAGGGACCCAAGGAGACTCGGTTGCGGGCGGCCCTGGGGGACCCCCGCGCGCCTCCCCGCCCGCCCGGGGCCCGCCTCGCTCACCGAGGTGGCCGCCGACCACGGTGACGGCGAGCTGGTCCATGAACACCGCTCGGAAGCGCACGTCCTGCTCGGAGCAGCGCTGCCGGAGGGCGCGCAGAATCTGCACCTGCGGGTAATCCTCGCTGAGACGCCGGTCAGTTAGGAGCCAGACCTGGGAGCACATGGCCTCGGCGGCGGCGCCCTACGCGGCGCGGACCCTCGGGGCCCCGGCACTCCGTGCGCAGGGCGGGCGTCGGGCGAGCGCGCCACGGCTCCGCTCCCGCCAGTGCGCCAGGGCCTCTGCAGCCCTGACCCATTACTTCATCCATTTGAGCCTGAGGTTCTTAAAAAAATAAATGAATTAGAATGGATTATTTAAAAGTCTTCCCGGGACTCACATTCTATAATTC